AAAAAAACTGATAATTTTTTACTTTTTTAGTTAATGCGATATTTAAAAATACCACCTTTTGGAGAAGTGTTGCAACAAGGATTTTCTGTGTTTGTTGATGAAAAAGATAATTTGATTTCTATGACACCTTTATATTTATTCTGTGGTTTGTCCTTTCCACTTTGGATGCCTACTAATAATCTCACGCTATTAGCTTTGCTCAGTGGTATTCTGACAGTTGGGGTGGGTGATGCTGCTGCTAGTTTTGTTGGAAATAAATGGGGCTTTCATAAATGGACTAATTCAGATAAATCTATGGAAGGAACAATTGCTTGCATTTTTAGTCAAATTGGATTGATATGTCTTTTAACATTTATGGGTATGTTTTATTAAAATAGTTTTCTCTTTCCATGGAAAACTGTTTATATTTTTTAAATGTTCTTTAATGTATATAAAATTTAGTTTTGGATTATTTTCAGATTGTTCATTATGATGTACGATAAAATTAATTTATATATTTCTTTTAATAGGTTATGTAGACAATGGTTGGTTGTTTTTACGAAGTTTGTTGTCGATTGTTGCACTGTCGTTTATTGAAGCACAAACGAATCAGGTCGACAATTTAGCGTTACCTTTATTGATGTACGTGTGCCTAACAATTTAGGCAAGTAATGAATACAAATGCTGAGACAGACAATAAGTAATAGTAACTGTTTTAAAAATGACTGAAACCTATTTGGTTGTTCAGTATAGTGTGGACCAAAAGTGTAGTGTTCCATTAATTTACTTCTTTATTTGTATCTTTATATTTAAAAGATACGTATATTTTCTGTTGTATACATATAGTATATTTTTCTCAGATTGCTGTATTGCATCAATTTGTTTTGTTATAAAGAATACTTACAATTAGTTACTAGTCAAAAAATGTTTAAGTTACCTTTGCTATTTCATTATTGTATATTTTCATATTTTTACATTATTTAAATATGTATATATATATATACACAGAAATTTTACTTTGTAATTTATGCTTTAAATGAATTGTAGAAAGATTCGTATTCACATATATCACTGTTGAAAAGTTTGTTAAATGCTATTTGTACGAAAATGTTTATTTTTGTACATAAATATCATATGGAATGTATCCATATAAACTTATCTGTTTAAAAACACAGAATTGCATATGAAAAGTGAATGGCACCATTTGATACTTGCGCATGTAATTGTCTAATTAGCTACTATTTCCAACTTGTACAACAAAAATGAATGTATCCTTGTCTTGTTACGACAGGTCACGTAACTTGATATTCCGCAACGCATAATCTACTCATTCCTATCAACGCATTTTTGTATTCTGCTTGAAAGAGTCTGTAAACAAAATTTATTAATAAAATATTTTTATAATTGTGTACATGTTGTCAATGTTGTATGTTTCGCCCTATATATTAGATGTATTAATGCTTCAATATTTCTGCATTAAATGTATGATTTCAAACATTATTTCTGTTATGTGTTATTTTTGCAAACATTGTTTTGTAAATAGTGCAAATTTGGTAGATAAGGATTATTTTAAAAAAGAAGACCTTCCAATCATTTCGTTCCATTATTTTATTGACCAGCCTTAAAATTTGACTGTACGCAGTATGACACACGCCGTGTTTATACGCGTACATGATATATGGAATGCTTAAAATTCACTGATTTCTCGCCAAGGCTTAGATTTCAATTGTAACCATTGTATTAAATATAACTTTGCAGTACTGTAGCTTTTATTCACAAAGAAAAATATTAATATTTTGAATGTTTGTACAAATTTTTAAATTTGCATTTCAATTATATTTATGTTAACAAACCTTTCTACCAAATTATATGTTTCATCGTTGCTGTATATATTCAATTTAATATTGATGTACATATAAAATCTGTTTTAGGCAATAAAAATAATGAAGTAGTAGTCAAAAACATATTTGAAATTACTCTTTTATATTGAAATTATTGATACAATAAAAGTATGAATGAAAGCAATATTCGTGTATTAAAATTATGTATGTATGTAAAAAAATGGTATAAGTTGTGTTTGTTTCTAGCTAATTTTTAACAATGCATTGTTCTATAAAACGTACATACATATGTAAAAATTTTTATTTCGTGAATATGCATCTGTAAATTTATTTAAACTGGTATGCAACGATGTGTTCTCTATTAACGCTTTTCTAAATGAGTTACTTTTTATACTATTTTTTCATAACTCCATTAGATATTAGTTGTTACGACATAGTAATTTAATGTATATTTATATATTGTTTATATGTATCAGTACTTTTTGAAATTATTAAAT